CCTTTCCTTTCCTTTCCTTTCCTTTCCTTTCCTTTCCTTTCCTTTCCTTTCTTCTTTTCTTTTTTGCAACATATAAAACTTTTTTAAAGGTTAAGTTAGAAAAAGCATTTGTTTAACTTGTCTCACCACCACCCTATCCCCCCATTTTTCAGAGGCTGGGATAGAAACAGTACTACCCAATCACAGCTATACCAAGAGGCAGCAAAATAATTTTACTAGGAAATATTAAAAAAAAAAAAAATCCTTGTCTAGGGAATAGGTGCATAAATCATTATTAGCACAGTTCTTTATGAGCTAAAAACACTAAAAAGCAGTAATATACCTTTTTTATAAAATGAATAGTAGAATGATTGCAGGTTTTGGTTTACAGGTAGTCCTCGTTCAGCAACCACAATTGGGACTGGCAACTTGTTAGTTAAGCGAAGCAGTCACTACGTGAAATCGCAACTGTGCTTACAATCTTATTTCAGCTTTCCTTTGCTTTACATACCTGCAAAAATCATAAATCGGGGACTGATCTCAAAGTTACTTTTTCATCACAGTCGTAACTGCAAATGGTTGCTAAATGAGGCAGTCGCTAAATGAGGACTACCTGTATATTTTGCATTTAGAACAGCTAGTTAGCTAGGGCTATTGTATCTGGCTGCAATACGTCAGATAACCAGCAGATGGCAGCAATAGGTTGGGAAGTAAAAGAAAGAAAGCTGAGAATCTGCCCCCTGGCCCCCACTTGAAGTTCCTCACATTGTAATGGAGCCTGAAAGAGCAGAAGGAAAGAATGCAGGTGAAGCTGCACCTGCAAAAAGCCCAAGCTAGAAAGGAGCTGAAAGCTTCTAAGAAATTACTACAGTACCATTCTTGAGGAAGCAGAAAATTAAATGCAAGTTTTCTCACTCAAGGTACAAACGACCAGGTTCAAATCATCATATTTTGGACACATTATGTGAAGACTTAGCTCTCTGGAGAAATTGATAATGCTGGGAAAGGTGGAAGGAAAGAGAAGAGGAAGACCAGCAGCAAGGTGGATGGATTCAATTGCAGCAGTAATTGGTGCACTGATGGAAGACCTGAAGGTCCAGGTTGGAGGCAGAATATGCTGAGGTCATATAAGAGTTGACACTGCTTTGATAGTACATAATCAATCAATTTCTTCCCATTAAGAATCAATCAGCATATGCTACTCTGGCAATAATAACAGCACAGATAA